TCTGAGAACGCTGAGCTCGCTCGGCAGCCACGCGACACGCGACTGAATGCCACCACGGGAGCGGAGCAGAGGATTTCCTCCTGTTTATAGCCAGGCAACATTCCAGCCAGGGCCCCTTTTCTTCTAAATGCCCAGAATCTGGCAGGGTTGCCCCGCAGTGGCTCTGACGGCGCACGACAGAGATGGCCTGGATGCCAGGGGGCTTCCAGTCCCCGAAATAAAGGCTGAACTACTTGTGGAATTCAGAGACTGGAGGGGGATCAAGAACGTGGATGCTAAAATCAAGGTGTTTCACAGTCACGTAGCTACTCTGCTGCGCATTACCGTGTTTCTTTACGATAACAGTCGGGGCGCCTGCTGGGACTGTACACGCAGGTGCAGCCACGGGGGGGCCCGGAGCCTGCGCTCCCCTGTCTGCACGCAGCGCTGTCTCCCTTCTCAAGCAGCATGACTCAGTTTTCAATGTTCAGTTCGGTGCAGGTGCAGAGGAGACGGCGAGAGGCCGTCGTGCATGGGGGGGCGGTCAGTGGGGCTCAGGACAGGGCGCAAGCCGTAGCGCACCTCTCGGTTAGAATAGTCAGACTCGATGACGGTGGTGCGGTGACGACGGGAGCGAACCACCTTTTCCACACCCAGCACTGTCAGGCGTAGGGCGTTTGGCTCACTGCGGAGCCCGCGGCCTCAGAGAGGGCGGACTGTGTCTATGCGGGAAGGCCTCACGGACACGTGCCTCGCTGGGCCTTTCCGTCACTCGTGGAACGGGCAGCCGCGGCAGGACCCTCCGCTCTGAGCCGCAGTCGGCGGCCGCTGGCCTCTCTTCCCGGAGAGGGGGCCAGGGAAGGAGCCAGGGGGTGACCACACAGCGAAGAGGGTGACGCAAATGTTACCAGCGCACCGGCAAAAGAGGGGCATAAGTCACACTCGTCTCCATTTCTTACATTATTCTCTGAGCATGTTTACTGAAACAAATAGAAAGACAAAAGAAAAATCACAGTTCTCAGTTCATGTCTTACCGACATCCATATTTGGTAACGAGTGTGGAGAACTGGGGAAATGCACTGTGGGTTGACTGTTACCCAAATTGTAAAAGTTCAGTTTAAGTGACCAGAAGTGTTTGAATCGAGATTCATCATTTTCGCCCTCTGGTATGATTTTTGAACTTGCATTTTATCTATAATTTTTCAGACAAAACACAGGCTACGGAAAGATGCAAACGTGAGCAAAAGAGCCAAAGCAGGACCGCGGTCTGCCCACGTGACACTGTGTAGCGCGACTAACTTTCCCCGCCGGGCCCCGGCCCTGGGACCCGCGCGGCCCCTCCCGTCGGGCACCCACCTCTGCGCCTGGCAGCCGACAGCCCCGACACCGCTGTATCGTCAGCTGTGCACAGTCTCTTTTTCCCTGCAGAGAACCCCCCAGGGCTGGGACTGACGGGGGAGAGGGCGATCTGTAACGCCTGGACGGGACAGCGGGCACGGCCGGTCTCTGCCTGCGCCGCTCTCAGAGGTCCTTTGCGGGGGAGGCTTTCGGGCCGGGCTGGACTGACCGGCCGGAGGCGCGGGCCTGCCGCTCCCTCCGCCTCCTGCGTGGCCCCGCCTCGAGGGCCCGGCCGCCCTGCCTGCGGCCCCTGCCTTACTCCCACAGACGCGCCCCTCCGGACTGCGCGTGCACCTGGCCCCGTCTGGCCTCGGCTTCTCGGGAGCCCACACAACGCGGGTCTTGCCGACCTGGCCGGCACTTGCCGCAGGGATCAGTTTATTCGGGCATTTGACCTCCGGTGAGCTTCGCTGCTGACCCCTCGGGACAGCCTGCTCTGGCCGGTAACTGCTGACCTGCTGCCACGTCCTGCGCGCTGTTGCCTGTTTTGACTCAGCAGTACCCGTGGCTGTAGCTGCTTTCGTAGGCCTCGCCGGGGTCTGTGCGTGAGCAGCCTGGTAAGGACACGCCAGCCCCCCACAGTGCCGCCTCTGGGACCTCCCCTGCGCCTCAGACGCGGCACTGGCGAGGCGGCTCGGCCCGGTGCCCTGAGCCTGTGCTCTGGCCCTCCCCACTTCCTCTTCTCTTCAGAACGATAGTGTCTTTTGATGAAATCTGAGCAGGTCGACAAACACGGCCCTCCAGGAGCAGGGTCATCTCTAGTGGTCAGCAGCTGTGGAGAGTGGCCATAGGGTGACTCAAGAGTCGCCTTCAAATGCTTGAAGGGCTGCGACGGCGGCGGCGAAGGGGCGTCCTAAGTCTGCACAGGGGATGGGCCCAGGTGGGTGGCAGCAGGCCGCTTCTCCGAGAAGACACACAGGCTTCCCGGAAGCAGGGGGACGCAGCCCTCAACAGGGACTTGGGATGCAGACAGGCCAGCCTCTGGGAGGCCTGGGCGTGGCGAGACCCTAAAGAAGGCGTGCAAGACCCTGAGATAGCCCGATCGCCTCCACTCTGGTCTCGCACCCTCATGTAAGCCTCTCTTACTCCCAATCAATTCGTACAGGGAAGTGTGGTGGCCTGTCTCCCCTGTGGCTGCCTCCCTCGTGGCCTGTCTCCCCTGTGGCTGCCTGCCCTGTCACCCCTACCCCTGTGGCTGCTTCCCTGTGGCCTGCCTGCCCTGTGGCTGTGTCCCTGTGGCCTGTTTCCCCGTGGCTGCCTCCCTCTGGCCTATCTCCTCTGTGACTACCTCCCCCGTGGCCTGTCTCCCCTGTGGCCTCTGCCCTGTGGCCACCTCCCTATGGCTGCCTCCCTGTGGCTGCCTCTCCCGTGGCCTGTCTTCCCTGTGGCTGCCTCCACCGGAAGACTGGCATAGGCAGTCCCTCCCTCAGGCTAGCTCTGACAGAGCATCCCACGTGGCAAGGAGCCTCTGGCCAGCAAGGCAAAAACCCCCTCAGCACTCAGAAACTTCTGACAGCACACAAGGAGTCAGATCCTGCCACAACCACATAAGCTCAAAGGTAGAACTTTCCTCCGGCTGAGCCTCAGCCAAGGTCCAGCCACAGCACACACAGCGATGATGGCCCCGCCAGACCCCACCAGAGGACACACCTAAACCCCCAGGACTGACCCACGGCAAGGACAGGACAGGTGCCACATTTGTGGCAATACTGCCATGCGGCAATAGCCACCAAACATGCCCTTTCTGGTAGTTCTGGCCTCCGTGACGTCATCCCCAACCCGCGGTATCGGCGCAAACCCATCCTGACGGCCACAACGCTGACCAAGGCACGTGTCCAGGCGCGGGCAGGAGCGTCTTGGGGCCTGGCCCCACAGGCGCGGGCTGGGGTGGGCAGCCCAGATGGCCACACCTCTGTGCCGTGCGGCACACAAGGGCGACTCCGTCTCCTAAGTCGCTGGTCACTGTCGTCTTTCTTCCCCAAAGATGCTCTAAGGAAGACGTGTCTTCCCGGTGCTACATCACCTTTAGCAGATGCAGACTGTATCCATGAGGGGACTTACCATACCCAGGAATATCATCTCCTTCTCGCGCTCTTTTTCAGTTAACTTACACTGGTGGAAGCCTCGCCAAACCTGAAAAGAATGAAGTGGCTTCTTAGTACATCAGCAAAATAAAGACAGCACTGACACGTCGTTTCTCGCATCTGGCGCCCACGCCCCGCACGGCAGAGCGGCCGTGTGGTGAGAGGGGGCACTCGTGGGCCCCGATGGGATCACAGGCCGTGTTTGTATAGACAAACCACAGATGCCACGCCCCCGCTGAGGACCGCTGTGGACCCTGAGACGAGCGCCCGAGCGCCGTGGCCTGTCTCCCCTGTGGCTGCCTCCACCGGAAGACTGGCATAGGCAGCCCCTCCCCCAGGCTAGCTCTGACAGAGCATCCCACGTGGCAAGGAGCCTCTGGCCAGCAAGGCAAAACCCACTCAGCACAGGCGCCGGGCAGCACCACCCTGA